GTTCCTACGGGAAAGTAACGGTAATCTAATTACCGTTTTTGCAATAGTAATCCCTTACTTTACTCGTTACTTGAAAAAAGTAATCGGATTACAGTAACGCGTCTGTTTAACAAAGTGTAACCCAAAATAAATTTAAAAGATACAAAAAAGGAACTCACAGAGGCCTAAAGTTTTCTTACTGTAGAGGAAGAACATGAAAAAAGGAACTGTAATGCGATTGTTCTCATGTCAGGAGTTGTTCTGTGTTTTTACCTCGGAAACGTTCTGCTGCGGAGCTCCTTGATGAAGACCTGACTGCCGTTCTGAACAGCTTTGATATCTGTGCTTTGGCCTGTGTCATGTTTGCTCCAGTTCTTTTTCTTTTTCACTAGAGAGCAAACAGAAAGAATCAGTCAGAACTTGACAGCAATCAAATCTAAATTGTTCCAGCAAAGGAGAAGAGGTGGAACGATCACACCACAGCAAATTTCAATCATTTGAATCAGTGCAACTGCTCACGTGTGGATTTGCCGTGGGTCTTCTCGCAGTTTGGACAGTGATAAATGTCGATGTCTGGAGCATCGTCTTCATCAACATCGACGCAGCTGAAATGAGAGAGGAAATACTTTTTAATGGCGAGGAACAGCCTTCTGCACATGAACTAAAGTAAAAGTGTGATTGGCTGCGGCCAATGGCTGCGAGGAAAAAGCTTGGGTAGATTATTCATCTTGGAAATGTAAATTTTAAGAATTAGGATTAAATCATCCTAATTCTTAAAATTAAGTACAATTTCAACAACTGGTCTGTTCTTCCACATTATAAAGAACTGCTTGTGCAGCAAATTTAGCTTTCAGTGTTTTCAACTGTAAAAAAAGAAAAGACGGGATAAAATAAATAGTAAATAAAAAGGAAATTTTTTGCTATTTCATGAGATGTTAACGTTAAAAAATGCCAGAATTCCTGATTATTTATCTATTACATACTTAGGTCTATGGGAGGTCAAGACATCTCATGGTGGCGTCTTTTTCAGTAAAAAGACTAAAAGTGAAAAAAAAATTCAGTTAAAAGTAAAAAATTTGAAGCTGCCTTTTGAAAAAACCTTAAATTACTGAAAAATATTCAAAACTTTTCTTCTGGCTCTTTCTAACAGCATATGCACATAAATCGATTTTGTATACGTCTACAATAGAATTTGTAGCGACACGACAAGAACAGATGTCAGTGTCTGGACAGAGGAGGAAAGAAAAATCTAACTCCAGCGTGGTCACCAACCAAAGAACATCAGCATGGTCCTTTGAAGTGATGCATGGTCTACGCTGACAGACAGCAGAGGGCCATCAAGACCTCAGGACTGGTAGCCTATAAATATCCATCTACACAGATGCAGACGCGGTCTATATTGTAGCTCTGTGGTTTGTAGCACGACTGTAGTAAAAGGAAATGTTGGTTGAATTAGCACAAAGGCAAACTGCTAGTCGTGAGAAAATGACTGTTGCTGTTGCAAAAGTTGCACTTTTGAAGTGAAGAAAAAAACAAGATTTTTGAAGCTCAAATGCAGCAAAGGAAAAATCACCAAAACTGAAAGATATTTCAAGAAAGCATTAGTGTGGTTTGTTATGATGACAGTGATGCCCAGCTCTTCCCTTCTCTCTCTAACTGCTGCTATCCCGGACTCCTGCAAGTCCAAATTCCTCCCGTTTGGAGCCGCTGTTCTCAAACTCGGTGAGCTGGGAGTTTCTACACAATGTATTCTTTTGACTCTTTGTGGGAGCGCCACAGCTTTACTACCAGGCCCTCTCACGTCCACTAGAGTCACACAGAAGAGTGGGTGG